CCTGTACAAACTGTGAAGTTCCTTGGACTGCTAATTTCTGCTGAAAATCCTGGTCACTAACTGGTAATGTGGAAGCTACTTTGCATTGTCACTGTCTACATGCATCAGCTCTTATTTCTGAATTTGGCTTTTTTGCAGGTCCCTAGCTGTTGGTAGTAAGTCCGGTTATAAATTTTTCTCCCTTTCTTCTGTGGATAAGCTGGAACAGATCTATGAATGCAGTAAGTGTTTGCTTTATTTTTTCCTCTTAAAAACCATAGTCCAGTTGTACTTGAACTGAAATGCGGTCTTAAGTTCAGACATGTAGAGACTGAAGTCCTGACAACTCCTAACCAGTCCTCTTCTTCCACCTTGGACTCTGTAAGAGGTGACACTGGTGATAGTCTGTGTTCCAGATCTTTTTCTGTGCATTTGCATGCATATAAATGTACATTTATAGTTTTGTTTTATGGACTTTTTCAATGAACAGCATCTAATCATATGTATTCTGTAGCCTCCCTCCTTTTTAAATGCCATTTAAACCATTTTGGGTACTGCTATAAAAAGCTTCCAGAAAATAGAAAATGAACAGTTTATTTTCTTGAGTTGTCATTTTACTGCTTTTGTAGCTACACATCAGAGAGGCAGCAAGGGGGCAGCAGAAGGGTCATACACCTTGGCTTCTTGTTCTATCACTTAGTGTGTGGTTTTACATGGATTACTTCATCTCTGGGCCTCAGTTTCCTTTTATTTTTGGCAAAACAACTAATGCCTACCTATGATATTGCTGTCAGGATTAGAAGTAATGAAGAAATACCGTAGGCATAGATCACCAGTGAGATGACAGTGGAAAGCTTTGGGTTCTTTCCATGTACATAATAGTTAAAATTTAGATTCACTAAAATAAAATAAAGTAAAATTAGGTTCACTTGCAGCTATAAGAAACAGCGCAGCCCCTTCGTCCAGTTTCCCCCAGTGGTAAAATCTTGCAAATCTTTAGTACCACAGCCAGAACACCCACATCCATCTGTCCTCTTCACAGCACTTAAGCTTTATTTGTATATCTGCAAGTTCTCTGTACAGTGTCAGCACCTGAGGAGATTGCTGTATCTGCTACAGTCAAGACACAGAGCAGTTCCATGAAGGCCCTTCAGGTCACCCTTCATGGCTATACCTGCCTCCCTGCTGCTGAATCCACACCTACTCTGATCCCTCACAGCCTCTAATCTGTCTAATCTGAAAGGTTTTTTGTCAGTTTTTAATCACAAAATGCCTGAAGTAAGCTAACTTAGAAATTTAGCTCACTGTTTAGAACATGATTCCTGCTGCCTATGCTTCTGGTGAAGCCCCCACAAGTCCATCACATCTGTGGGAGCAGCTGGTGACATCTAGAAACCAGAGTGCGCTCGTAGAGCCAGGCTCGTACTTCATGGGTCTATGTTAATCTCGTGAGGGAGGACAGACCCCCAGTCACCTGAGGGCCTCTTGATAAGGTTATCCTTAGAGGTTCCACTGCATCCTAGTGGTGTCACTCTGTGGGCCAGGCCTCCATCCTACACACCTATGTGGAGTACTCAGCCCAAATCCAGACTATAGCAAATGAGTACAGCATTCTGTGATTGGGAATTCTTCCAAGTTGTGTGTATCAGTAGCTCATTCTTTTCATTAACAAGTAGTATCCTGTGGTTTGAACACACTTCAGTATAACCATTTTCCTGCTGAAGGACCTGTGGGCTGCTTGCAGTTCTGAGCTATTACAAATCAAGCTGTTATGTGGCTAGGTGTGGTGGTAAAAACTTGTACTTCCAGCTATTCAGAGGCTGTGGCACAAGAATCACAAAACCATACTGGGCAACATAGCAAGACCTTGCCTCACAAATGGGAAAAAAAGAGTCTGGGTCATGTGTTCCTGGTGTCAATCCCTAGTACTGCCCCCAAAAAAGAAAGAAATGGGGGTTGGAAAGGCGAAAGATCTATCATGAGCATTTGTGACAGGTTTTTGTGTGTGCATAGGTTTTCATTTCTTGGAGGTAAATGCCCAAGAGTGCAATTGCTGGGTGGTATGGTAATTGCACGATCAGACGCTTAAACTGCCACAGTGTTTTCCAGGCTGGCTATAGCATTTTACATACCCGCTAACAAGAAGTGGCTGAAGTTGCTCAACACCTTTGTCGGCACTGTCGCTGTGTTTTTCTCAGTCACTCTGATAAGCGTGTGCAGTGCTATCACATTGTGTTTTGTGTTCCCTTACTGCTGTGTTCGGCATCTTTTTTGTATGTTTATTGCTGTCTCTGTGTCCTCTTTGGTGAATCGTCTGTTCATGTATTTACCCACTTTCTAATTGGATTGTTTGTTTTTTAATGCCATTCTGTGAATTCTTTATATAGTCTAGCTATTAGTCATTGTTAGTATGAGGCTTTTAATTATTTCTGCCCCCTCTGTATGAAGCATTTCAGTAGACCTGAACTTGCCTGTGGCTGGGACCTAAGGATCCTTATTAGGAAATAAGGAGCATAGTACTTATAATTTATGTCTTATGATTTGTTCCACCGGGATAGATTCAGGAAGAGACTGAATCTTTATTATTTCGATATCTACATGAGGGGGCCAGGGAAACCCCATCATTTCAAGGAAATAGAGTGTGTGTAACTCCCCAGTAGTACCCTGCTGTAGCTGCACTGATGGTGAGCACCAAGCGCTTAATAGGAACAGAGCAACACTAGGCTTCTTAGACTTGGTTCCTGAGCCATGGTTCCTACTGCCTGCCTGTCTCAGACTTCACTCCTCTTTTGTCCTCAGACTGTCTCCTGGTGCTTACTAGGTCTTGTGTAACTGAAGGTGTCATCTAGACAAAATAGGTGTGAGCCGTGAATGTAGCTCAGTGGTACAGCAGCTCTGCCTGGCAGATGTGAGTCTCTGTTTGATTCTAGGTATCAAAAAAAAAAAAAGAAGAAGAAGAAAGTAAAATAGGTGTGAAGCAGGAATGTATTCCTAGAGATCCAAACAGGACCTCTTTCCTCTGGGAAAATAGCCCTGTCTTGGCAGAAGAGTTCTTGTGGCTTTGATGAATGGCTGAAGCGTGCATTAAATCTATATCCATAAGAAAGTCCCTTATTATTAAATCATTGTCGTCACTCTTATCTGTTTTTAAACCCACAGAATCTTTTTTTTTTTTGATACTGCAAATCAAATTTGGGACCTGGTGCTTGTGGGTCAGGCAGGGGAACCACTGAGCTAAATCCCCAGCCCTGAACCCACAGAATCTCACTCCCTGTTTGGAGACCAAGGGCTTAAACAAGAGTAAAAGAATACCAAAACCTGGTTTTGCTTCTTCCTCAATGTAAACCTGGCTGACTGGCTTCAGCACCCTTTTGCCAAAGGCTTTGATGGAGTGGAATGTGATGCTTGATAGCTAGTCTTCTAAGGAGAGACTGTACTGACCAACACTGATTTGTGTTCCCCTTAGTGAACTTAGATCCTTAAAAATAGATGATGAAATGGACAACAAGTATTTTCAGGGTTAACACTTTAAACTGCAGCTGTTTCATTGTTCTATTCCTAAACACTATCTGCCTTTCCTCTGTCACTTATTTTCTTTGAGCCAATAAGAGAGTCTCTTGGGAAACAGGGTAGGCTCTGAGTGAATGGTCCAGGTTGCTTTCTAGCATTTTTCCATAGGTGGACTTAGCAAAGAATTTTACTTCCTATATCAGTATTTTAGTGCAGCCTGGGTATTGGCTCATACCCTCCTAACTCTTAGCATGCATCATAGAGCTGGATCTTTGCTATCAGCCTCTCAAGTTCTTTGCTATCAGTCTCTCTTGCTGCTACAGAAAGAGTGAGCCAGAACTAGTCTTAGGGAGAAAACAAGACTGACCACTTCTTGTTCTTTCATTCCTTTAAATACAAGACCCAAAACCTTTACCCTACAGCACTGTAAGATTTTTACTGCCTCTGTTGTCATTTCAGATTTTAAAAAAGGTTGCAAAAACTCCTGGGCACACCTCACCTATTGTTTGTATATGTCTTGTGTGCTTTCTCTCCTTCCTCTGCAGGGCCGGTTCTTGTTCGAAGATACATTGTACACCAATGTGGTCTCTCCTCCCTAAAATACTACTGCAGTGGTATCTTCTATTATTATGCAAAATGAATAGAAAGTTGTTGGGTTTTACTATTGTAAAATATCACAAAAGTTTAAGAGCTCTCTTGCTCAGATTCTACATTGTGCCTTTTCTTTGCACCTTAGAATTTCTAAGCCAGGAAGTGTCACTCATAAAGCATGCAGTTCCAAGATACTAGATGAGCAAAATGTTCTTAGCTCAGCAAAAGTGACTGGAGCTCCCTAGATTATACAAATCATCCATCGCCACATAACACTTTTATCAGCCTTCTTGCTTGGCCAAGAAACCAATCACCATTTATGTTACTGGCTATCAAATGTGTCTTAGGGTCTGAGAAATGGTGCTTTCTGACTCGTTCCTACTTGACAGGCCACTCACCAGTTGGAGTATTAATTTCAGTGAGATTTATAGTAATGGAGAAACTGGTTGCCTCTCTCTGCCTGAATCTGTGGTAATGGAATATTGGACTCTTAACTCCCATCCCTGCAGAGCTCCAGACATTGGACAGGCTGGTGCAGAAATGTATTCTATCAATTATTTAAAGGCTTTGTTCTTCCCTTCCCACTTTAGGAGCTTTATCATTGTCAGCTATAAACCATGCCAGCAGAAACAAAAGAAGCATCCTTTCTTCAATCAAGTAATTAATTTCCCAGGTCAGATTGTAGATAGGCAGTCTCTAGGAGAAAGTCTGCAGGAATTATGGCAGTAGCCACCTAGAATGAGTCCTAAAGCCAGGCCTTTGCCACTTGAGGTCACTGAAGTTTATGTTTACACTTAGTTTGTATCAGCCTGAGTGCTTTCTGGCACTAGTGTGCTGGTAACGTGCCATCTTGAGTAATGACACAGCCTTGGTGTTTTTTTTTTTGCTTTTCATTTAACTATCCTATCTTCTATTTACAGCCTGGTCTATTGTTTATCATTGTTCTTGGGAGGGCTAAGCTGTCTGTACCTCAGTTTAGTGGAAAGTGATTGTTGGATATGTGGAGTCCATGTAGAAGGTATGATTTTTAAAAATAAATATTTTGTAGAAAAATTTTAAAGATTTTTTAACAGTAAAAGAGACATTGCTTTGATCCCCTCCAGAATACTGTCCCTCACTTTGAACACACACTGTTCTTGCCACTTCTTGAAGCATCTCTGGAAGTCTTTAGTTGAACTGTCGTGGCTGCCTCAGTGTCCTGATTGTTTTGACTTTGGGGAAGATCCACAAGTCAGGTGGTGCCAGATCCAGTGAATAAGGTGGATGAGGATGCATTGTTGTGCTTTTACAAGACTGCCTTTCCCTTGAATGGCACTAATCTGCAACATTCACTCTGTTTTTTACTACACCTTGTAAAGATACTTTCAAAAGAGAATATCTAAAATTGCTTTAAAAAGTGGCAAAATAATGGGATAAGTGTGTTAAGAGGTGAGGGGGAGGATTTTGATGTGATAAATGGCAATGTGTCTTTTACTATAATAAATTTTTTACTTTAGCAAAGTGTTTTCTGATCTTTATATGTGTTTGGAAGTTCTCTTGGGTGTGAAATATCAGAGCTGCCTCTCTGCAGGCTCCCTGCAGTTGGCAGATGGCCTTGTCCTATCCTTGGTTTCGGGCTTCTTTGAACATCTGATGCACCATAGAGACAGCTCTGATTTCAGGGGTTTTAGTGACCTCCCTGACCCCCATCTGCATATCTCCTCTGGGAGGGGAGGGTCTGCCCTGGCTTTGACCGTGCATGGTGGCAGCACGTCCTGATGCCCAGCATCCCTTTTCCTTGCATCACATACCTCTTGCATCAGGTCTTAATATATCAGCCAAAGTTCAGATCTCTGCAGTAGGCTGCCTATGTTGGTTTTTATTGTGGCTATTGAAAAACCTCTTGGGGATATAATTTGTCTACCTCTTAAGGTATATAAATCTTTTTAAAGTGTACATACAATTCAGTGAGTTTAATATATCTATACTGGCTTGTGCAGTTTGCCATAATCTAATTTTGAAATGTTTTTATAATCCCCAAAAGCAACCCTTGAGTGCATTAGCAGTCACTCCCCGTTTCCTCCCACCACCCGTGTCCCATCACAGCCACTAATCTACTTACTGTGTCTATAGATTTGCTGTCTGGACGGTTCAGATAAATGGAATCATGTGGCTGCCTTCTCTTATGTAGATGTTTCATGGTTCTTCCCTGCCTTGGTGTGTGTCAGTACCTCATTTCTGTTTCTTTTTTTTTTTCTGGTACCAGGGATTGAACTCGGGCCCCCGTACTTGCAAGGCAGACAGTGGAACCACTGAGCCAAATCCCTGGCCCTCACTTCTGTTTCTTGCTGAATAATATAATACTGTCTACATAGGTGGTTTTGTCCATCCAGTCATCTGCTGTTGGCTCCGGGTCTTTGACATTTGGGGCTATTGAGAATAGTGCTGCTGTGAACGTGTGTGTACAAGTTACTGTGTGAACCTCTGGTAACTGCAGGATGGCAAATACTGGTTAGGCATCTTTGTTTTGCCCATGTCTGCGCACTACTGAAGGGTAACTTCCTACAGTGGAAATACAGGTTTGAGTGAGATAAGTATGTTTTAAAATCAGTAGACGCTTCCATGTTGCCCCTGACAAAGGCAGTGCCAGCCTGGGTGGGGGAGTGAGCCAGCTGCCTTCCTCAAGCCTTACAAGTGCTAGTCACACTTTCCTATTTAAAAATCTGATTTTTTAAATGTCCTTTTGCCTTGATTATTTGTAATCCTTGAATTTAAAAGAAAAAACAAATTAGCCATTTGTTGTGAGTTAAAATATTTTTTCTGGGTTGTCATTTGGTTTTTGGCGTTTTTTTTTGTTTTGTTTTGTTTTGTTTTTAATGGTTCTTTTCACCAGTCTGAAGTCTTGATTTTTTTTTTTGTTTGTTTGTTTTTATATTTGGTTTGTTGTTGGGACAGTGTCTTGATGTTATATTCTAAGCTGGCCTCAAACTCACCATGTAGCATGAAATGCTGATTCACCTACAGTCCTATGTAAGGAATCTTTCATTTTCATTCCATGTCTGGAAAAATCATTTTTCTCGTGGCCTTATTTTGCTTGCTGATGTATTTAGGGTGCACTGAAGATGAACTTCTGTTTTGTTTTTTGGTTTTGGGTTGTTTGTTTGGGGTTTTTTTGTTTGTTTGGTTTTTGGTTTTTGGCTTTTTTTTTTTTTTTGTACCAGGGATCAAACTTGGGACCTTGTGCTTGTGAGGCAAGTGGCAGCACCACTGAGCTAAATCCCTGGCTTCTTTCTATTTTTTAAAAAATAGCTTTTCATTAAAACTTCAAGAAAGAAAAGACAGTTGATACTAAATGGCAGAAGTTAGTGTTTGTGAAATCTAGATCATGGGTATGTGCAGATTAATTTCATTGTCTCTTTTATGAATATTCATAGTTTAGAAAAAGCTTTCCTGCCTCTATATCATACCCCATTTTTTAAAATTTTAATTCTGAAAGAAATCTTTTTTTTTCCATTAAAAATGTCGGGAAGGCCATCTTGAAGACATAGCAGGGTAGGACAAATAAGCAGGCAGTAACCAGTGATGGCAAACCTTTTAGAGCTTTCAGTGATAACAAACAGCCTGCTGTGGCACGTGTGCCATAGATTGGCCACCACCCCTGCTCTCACCCATAAAGCCTTTGCCTTCTCAGTGCCTCCATTTATTAATGGAAATTTTTAAGCATACATAAAAGTTGAAAACACTTTGTGCCTTACACTCACTTCCCCGCGATTCAGACTGCCTCTCTGACATTTTACTAAATCTGCCCTCACCACCTGCCCACGAGCCCCTCACTAAGTGTTCCAGAGGACATTGCAGAGGCCAAATACTGCTGCAAGCATATTTTTGTCATTTTCTTTAGCAATGCAATGCATAGTGAGTTTTGACAAGCACTGCAACTCTGGGGTCAAGGCTTACCATCATTCCAGAAAGCTCCTCAGGTCCCTCTACCCTCAGCAGCAACCAGTGTCCACTTTTTTCTGCCATAGTTTACTTGCACCTGTCTGGAACTTCAGACTGACAGCACTCTTCACTCAGCATAATTTCTGGAAGTGCATCTGTGTTGTGTCTCGATGACAATACATACTATGTGACAACATATGTCTGCTCTTGCTGAGGGCATCTGCATGGATGTTCTTGTGCATGTCTTATGGGCATATGTTTTGTATTTTTCTTGGGTTGCTGTCCTGTGGCCTTGGATAGTACGTGCTCAGTTTATAAGAAGCCTCCAGACCTCCCCCACTGGCTCTGCCATTTGTGTTATTGAAGCTTGCACAAAGTAAGGCTTCTTCACTCGCATTTGACATTGCCACTGTCATTTTCGCCATTCTGAGGTGTGGGTGTGTGAGTGAGTGTGTGCACATGTGCAATGCTAAGGCTGGAATCCAGGCCTCACATGCACACCCTTGGCCCTTATTAGGATTTTAATTGGCATTTCCCTGGTGACTAATGATACTGATTGCTTTCATATGCTTGTCTGTCTGTATGTCTTTCTTGAAATGACTCTTCAGATCTCCCCTTTTTAAATTTGGTTGTCTTTATTATTGAGTTAGAGTTCTTAGGATATTTTGGAGCGAGTCCCTTTGTCAGATATGTTTTAGGACTATTTTTTTCATAGTCTATGGCTGGCTTCTTAGTTTTCTTGTCTTTTTTTTTTTTTTTTTTTTTTTTTTTTTTTTTTTTCCCCAGTATCAGGGATTGAATTTAGGACTTTGTGTGGTGCCACTGAGCTAAATCCCTGGCCCCGATTTTCTTCTCTTTTAGTAAATACTTTTTTTTTTTTTTTTTTTTGTACCAGGGATTCAACTCAAAACCTTGCACTTCCAAGGTAGGTGTGGTGCCACTGAACTAAATCCTTGGCCTTTAGTAGATACTTTATACAGAGGACCCTTGATTTACGAACTTGATTGGTTTCAGAGGGCTGGTTGTAACTCAAGTTGGTTGTAAGTCAGTCCAGCCAAAACCTGGATGTTTGCCTTGGTGCATGCAATAGGTAGATAAGAGGCAGCTGAGTCTTCCATTAACCTAATTATAACCCAGGTTGTTTGTATGTCAGGCTGGTTGTAACTTGAGGGTCCTCTGTTTTTTATGTCTATTTATTATTTATTTATTTTTGATGAGTTTTGCTTCCTGTGTCCTGTCTAGGAAACCATTGCCTACTCTCAGATCATGGAGCTCTTTTCCTATACGTTCTTTGAAAGCTTTGTGGTTACAACTATAAATAAAAGCCTTCTAAGGGGTAATCCACTTTCTGGTCCCCCTTCTGTGTCTCTCTTGGACAGAAGCTCTCTCTCAATAAAATTTTCCTACTCTTAAAAAAAAAAAAAAAAAAAAAAAAGCCTTCTCTCATGTTTAAGCCAGTAATCCATCTCAGATTAATTTGTGTGTGTTGTGAGGTACGAATCAAGGGTAGTTTCCTTATGATTTCCCGTTCCATCACCATTGTTGAAAATATTTGGTTCTCCTATGAAGATTGTTTGGTACTTAGAAACAGTTCTGTAGGTGAATTTGCTTTCTTTTCACTTCTTTCCTCATCCCTTGATCTATATGTCGGTCTTCAACTTTGTTATTTTTTGAGGTAGTCTTAGATATTGTAGGTCCTTTACTTTTTCATATACAAGTTTAAGTCAGCTTTCAGTGCCTTAAGCCTGCTGAGAGTATAAGGGTTGCATCAGACCTAGGGATCAATTTGAGGAGAATTGATAAACTTAACAGTATTGAGCTTCCAATCCATGAACCTGGTATATCTCTCTGTTAATTTAACTCTTCCTCAGTTTGTATTAGTAATGTATTAGGTTTTTTATAATGGAGGTCTTGTATCTTTTATTAAATTTAAAATATGTAATATTTGGGGTTAGCAGTATTATGTTAATTTTTAAAATTTCATTTTCCAGTTATTTTCTGCTGTGTATAAAAAGTCTCTCTCTCTCTCTCTCTTTTTTTTCTGATGGAGTTTGAGGGTGATCCAGGGTCTAGCACAATGCTAGGCAAGTGGTCTACCACTAAGCTACGACCCAGCCTCATTTTTGTGTTTTCATCTTGTATCCTTTGGCTAATAAAGAACATTTATTAGTTCTAATAGTTGCTTCTATAGGTACCTTAAGATCGCAGTAGGGGATGGTTTGACAGATTGCTTTTTGGTCTGTGTTGTATTTTGAGCTTGTGAGCAGTGGCACCACTGAGTTAAATCCCTGGCTCTGTCTTTTGTTTTTGGTTTTTTGGTTTTTTTAGACAAGGTCTCACTGTGTAGTTCATTTTCTTTTTTCTTTTTCTTTCTTTTTTTTTTTTTTTTGGTACCGGGAATTGACCTTGGATCCTTGTGCTTACTAGGCAGGCGCTGGAACCACTGAACTAAATCCCTGGATCCCTGGCCTCCCTGTGTAGTTCAGATTGACTTTGGACTTACTATGTTGCACAGGTTGGCCTTGAACATATGGGAAAACTGGCTCAGCCTCCTGAGTACTGAGATTATAGGTGTGTGCCACCACACTCTGCAGGTCTGTGTATTTTCTTTCTTTTCTCTGTCCCTGTTGTGTGTGAGAGAGACCTCCAGAGCAGGGTGGGGAAAGCAGACAGCCTGGCCTCCTTGTGGGTTCCAGGTCTCAAAGGGAAGAACCGTATATATAGTACTAACTGTAGACTTTTGCCTTGATCTGTTGAAGTTGCCTCCTGTTCATATGTCTCAAGATTTTTTTTTATCAGGAGGAGCACTGAATCTTGTCATGAGTTGTCTGCTTCTGTTGTACTGATCTGATGTTCTCTGGATGGTGGGGCTTCCCAGTCCAGCAGATGGCCCTAGATTGTTCTGACGTTGTATCCTTTACCATGAGGATCCCGGGCCACCTTTTCCTGGGAGATCCCTGTCTCTGTGCCCGTAAGCCAGCACCTCCTCTTGCTCCAGAGAGGGCAGCTGCTTTCCCCAGGGAATCACTCCTTCTCCAGATGGCCATGCCCTGCATCCATCTCTTCAGTGACCTGTCTCCACTACAGTATCCATCCTCTTGGTGGATTAGTAACACCTGAGTTGGAAATAGAACCTGCTTTGACCATACCTGTCCTTGCAGCCCCTCTCCAAGCGCCTGCTCCTTGAAGGCGCCTACCTGAGTTCCTAGACTTCCTTGCCTTTCCTTGATGGTCCAGCCCTTGACTGGGAGTATGTAGTGTGGAAGGCTCCAATCTGTCACCATTCTGCGTGTGCATACATATGGTGGAACCACTGATTCAGGGGTTACTGATAAACTTTAGCAAAGATGACAGATTTACAAATGCAGAATTTGAATAAAGAAGATCAGTATATTTGGAAATAAGGTCTTTTCTTTTCTTTTATTTATTTTATTTATTTATTTTGGGGGGGTACCGGGGACCAATCTTGGGACCTTGTGCTTGTGAAGCAGGTGGCAGCACTACCACTAACCCAGTAAGGTGTTTTCATCACTGGCTTAATTTAGGAGAGCAGTGAATTTAAGAAAAACTTACTTTTATCCTGGCATGATGGTGCACACCTATAATCTCAGCACTCGGGAGGTTGAGGCAGGAGGATCACTGCAAGTTTGAGACCAGCCTGAGCTACATAGTGAGCTCCAGGGCAGTCTGAACTACATACTGAGACCCCATCTCAAAAAAATAAAAATATTGCCAGGCGTGGTGGCACATTCCTGTAATCCCAGCACTCAGGAGGCTGAGGCAGGAGGATTGCTGCAGGTTCGAGTCCAACCTGGGCTACATAGTGAGTTCCAGGTCAGTCTCAACTACACAGTAAGACCCTACCTCAAAAACCAAAAAATAAATAAATAAATAAAATATAAATATAAATTAAATTAATAGTTGCTAAAAAAACTTAATTAGTTTTGTATGCAGCAGGTCTTAGAATTAATAATACTATGAGTCAGTCCAGCTCCTTCCTACGTCACCATTGAGAAAATTCATTAATGCCAGGCCTGACAGCTAGTTATAGCAGAGCCAAGAGCAGAATCTGATTTTTTCTTTTTTTGGTTTTTTTGAGACAGGTCTCATTAGGTAGTTGAGACTGACCTGGAACTCACTATGTACCCCAGACTGGTCTCAAACTCAACAATCCTCCTGCCTCAGCCTCCCAACTGCTGGGACTACAGGCATGTGCCACCATGCCCGGCCCAGAATCTGATTTTTAAAGTGGTTTTACCTGGGACCTTCCCTGGGTCACCATGGCACCACTAGGGCTCAGTGAGGTGCCCTGTACTGTTGCCTTCCCAGTGCAGGTATCAGTGTGAAAGCAGTTGAGCCAAAGCAGTTCTGCTCCTTAGACATAGCACTTGCAGATAATAAGACTTCCACCCAAACCAAACTTCACAAGAGTAGCCTGTGTGTTTAGAGATGTTGCTCTCTGAAGTATTGTTCGAGGAATATCTGAAATCCAGCCATCAAGTCTGCTCTGTCTCCCTCCAGTGTCTGAGGAGCTACTTCTTGCTGCTGGGTGATGTTAGACCAGGGCACGGCCTGGCATGGCCCTGTCCTTTCCTCTAGGCTCAGCAGGAGCCCTGTGCCTAGGTCAGTGGTGGCAAACCTGTGCACAGCAGGCTCTTTGTATCATTGAAAGCTCTAAAAGGTTGATGACTGGCAGAGGTGAGGCATGGGATGTGGCATGGGAGGGAGGGGGCTTCTTGTCATAACCAGCATCCGTGTGGATTTCAGGGGCAGGGTCATTAGAGAACCTAAGTATCTGGTTCTTGGAGAGGCTCCAGGTGCTACTGATAGTTGACATTCTCATTTTTTTTTGTTGTTTGTTTTGGAAAACATTTATTGGTACATTTTATTTATCTATTTTGGTACTGGGGATTGAACTTGGAACCTTGTGCTTATGAGGCAGGCAGCAGAACTATCGAGCTAAATCACCAGCACTGGTACATTTTAGATATACATAATGATAAAACTCATAGAGGATGCACTCAAGTACATGATATATGATATAATCTGCCTCTTTTTTTCCCATTGTCCCCTCCCCTCGCTATATACAAAAGCTTTGTTTCCATTTTTTCCTTCTATTTTCACTTTTTTTCTTGTCCTTTTCTTTTCCCCGCCCCCGTTCCCCTTCCCATTTGAACATTTTCTTCCTATTTCCCAGTATCTATTACACATTTTAGTCCTTATTTCCACTTTTGGTTTCTCACACCAGAGAAACAATACAGTATTTAAATGTGTATCTAATTTATTTCACCTAAGAGTATGGTCTCAGGCTGGGGATTTAGCCCAGTGGTTCCATTGCCTATCTCCCAAGTGCAAGGACCCAAGTTTGATCCCCAGTACCAAAAAAAAAAAAAAGAGTATGGTCTCAAGGTGCATCCATTTAAGCTAGAAATGTCTCAGGCTCATCCTTCTTTGTAGCATAGTACTCCATTGTATTAAAATAAACAAAAAAAGCACACCTTTATCCATTTGTCAGTTGATGGGCATTTGGGCTGTTTCCAAAATTCAGCTATTACAAACTGCCACTATAAACGTGGATGTGCTTGTATCGCTGTGGTAGGATGCTTTTAATTCTTTCAGGAAGTTACTAAGAAGGTGACTAGCTGGATGACATTCTGGGTTCTGCGTGCATGTCTTCAGAGCCCTGCCATGTCTGGGCCATGTGCCGAGACCTCTGCCCCCAGGAGGCAGCAGCAAGATCACCTGTGCCCCTCATGAAAAGGAAGTATCTGGCAGGAGTGTGCCTGCTCTAGGATGCACCCCTGGCCATTTTCCATTGGCAACAGCCACTTGCTTTTGATGCTTGAAATAAAGGTCTGTGCACTGCTACAGGGAACATGGGTTCACCTATGGCTCAGTAAAAGTGACCGGATAGGCTGAAGAGCTCAGAATCATGTGCTTGATTTTACTGCCTCTTCCATTCTGAGTAATAGCAAACTTTATTTTTTCAAACTCTTAATCCTTTTTATTAAAAGGAAAAAACTAAATATGTGCTGTGGCGTTTAGGCTACGTCTGACTCTTGAGTTCATGTCATTATGTTAGAACCTAAGCTAGTATTCAGCACGTTTGCTTGTCAGATCCATGTTGAATAGATCACTACCCTGCACTTGCTTAGAAATACAGACGCTACTCCACTCACAGTGGGGTTGCATCCCAGCAGACCCATCCTGGGTTGAAAATACAAAAAGTGGAGCTGCACTTACCATGCCTGACTAGAACGGACTCCCTGCTGAGGCCCTGCAGCCATCAGAGTGTTGTCCTTTATGTCACCAGACCAGGAAAAGATACAAACTTGGAATCAGAAGTACACTTTCTACCAAATGCTATCATTCTGGCACCACCATACAATTTAAAAGTCATAAAGTGAAACATGGTAATTTCAAAACCTTCTGCAATTCGTGTCTTAATGAAAAGGCGCTTGTATCTTGTTCTGTCACTTCATCTACCAGTTTGGTGTTTTGGATTAACAAGTGCATTTTTAAGTCTTCTGATTAAATCCAGCAGCAGAGCTGATTAAAGGGATCCTTTTAAGTAATTCTGTGATTTGTCTTCACATAGGGGCAAATCTGTCTCCTATCCAAGTACTGACCAGGCATGGCCCTGCTTAACTTCTGAGATCAGACTAAATCAGGCGTGTTAAGGGTGGTATGGCCATAGACTACATAGGGCCATGATCTGTATCCGTAGTGGCAGCAATTCTAGGACTCCAGAAAATCAGAATTTCCCCCTGGACTGTGCTACAATACTAGGGACCTGGAAGTAAGTCCCTGCTTTAAGTGCCTCGTAGGAGTGTATTTGTGTCTGCGGGTAGACTTTGCCTGTCAGCTAAGAGATGCATGTATCCACTTATGTTTTCTGTTCTGGTTTCAGCTGACACTGAAGATGTGTGCATTGTAGAAAGATTGTTCTCCAGCAGCTTGGTGGCTATCGTTAGCCTCAAAGCTCCCCGGAAGCTGAAGGTTTGCCACTTTAAGAAGGGCACTGAGATCTGTAACTACAGCTACTCCAACACAATTCTGGCTGTAAAGCTCAACAGGCAGGTGAGCAAGGCTCTGATGTGTGGCTCTCTGTGCACACTGCTCCCAGTCACCCTGTGTTTGCAGCCTGCCGAACCTGTCCCCTCCAGTGCCTCTCAAAGTGGGTAGTCCCCAGCCCTCAGCTCCCACCAGCTCCCTGCTGCCCATCCGGGTGCTAGGTACACCTCTGCCAGAGACTGACTGCTCTCTCCATCCACGATACTGCCCTTGCCCTGCCCAGTTGCTTCACCCATTTTTTTATGACCTGAGTCTTACTAGCTTTTTCTGTCCATTTGCTCATCCAGAGATAGCCAGTTTTTAACTTATCTTTTGCTTTTATAAGTATTTTCAGTCTTTTGGACTCTTTTTTTTTTCCCCCCGCTCTATTAAATTGTGAATTTGACCCATGAGAACACCTGGCACAGTTGATGAGTAGCCCTCCCGGCTCAGGTTCACACACAGTCCAGAAGTTTGGCGCATGAAATCCCTGTCTCCTGGGTTTGGCAGCACTGTGCACGGGGGTGGGGTGGGGGTGCAGTTGGAATTGGCTTCTGGTCCAGACTAGATGAAGGCAGCCTTCTCACCAAAATAAGCCTTATTATGGGCCAGGGGTTTGGCTCAGTGGTTCCACCGCCTGCCTCGCAAGCACAAGGGCCCAAGTTCGATCTCTGGTACCAAAAAAAAACCTTATTAGAACCAGGAATTGGTCTGTTAATTGACAAAATTGGTTAAACTGGGAAATTATAGCATATAATAGCTTGAAGATTTAAAAATTTAAGATACAAATGTTCCTTCCTATCTAGTGAAGAACTGTGTGCATGTCAGGTTCTCTTTCTTGCGTGAATTATTCCTTCAGTGGATCTTCTAAGTCTGCGTGCATTTTCTGTAAAGTGAGCGAGAACTAGCAGCAAAATAACCTGCATACCGAATAAAATTTGGTACTTTTAAAAAATTCCTAGGCTTGCTGAGCGTGGTAGAACACGCCTGTAATCCCAGCACTCAGAGGCAGGAGGGTCACCGTGAGTTTGAGGCCAGCCTGGGCTACATAGGAAGACCCTGTCTCAAAAAAAAAAAAAAAAAAAAAAGGAAAAACTCCCAGACTTTTATTTTTTCCTTACCATGCCTCATTCAGTATCAATTTTTATATTCTTGTGGATTTTTAAAAATTTATTTGTATGGGGCCAGGGATTTAGCTCAGAGGTTCTGCCCCTGCCTCACATGTGCAAGGACCTGAGTTTGATCCCCGGTACAAAAAAATGTGCATATGTTTTGGAGGCAGGGTTTTGCTGTGTAGTTCAGGCTGTCCTTAAACTCACAGTGATCCCTGTCTCAGCTTCCTGAGTGCTGAGATTACAAATGTGCACCCTCACATCTATCTTAGTATGTTTTGTTGTTGTTGTTGTTGTTGTTTGGTACTGGGGGTCGAACTCGGGTCCTTATGCTTGAGAGGCAGGTGGCAGAACCACTGAGCTAAATCCCCGGCCCTTAGTATCAGTTTTTTGTTGTTGCTGGTGGTGGTGGTGGTGGTTTTTATTTTTTTTGAAACAGGGTTTCATTATGTAGTTGAGACTGACTCGGAACTCACTATGTAGCCCAGGCCGCCAATTCACAGCCATCCTCCTGCCTCAGCCTCCCAAGTGCTGGGATTACAGGTGTGCGCCACCACCGCCAGCCCTTAATATCAGTTTTTAAAAGCATCCTGCCTTTATCAAGTCTCTCCAGAACCCACTTTCCCCATAGTTCAGCATGATAGTGAAGTACATTAGTTTGAATTCCTGTACCCTTGGCATGCAGGCAGTGTAGAAGCAGACACAGCTGGCCCTGGTGCCCCCCTGTGGCAGTAGGAAGACTTCCACATCCCGAGCCTCACACATCCAGTGTGTGTAATGTACTAGAGGAATGGAGAGTCTTAATCCAAAACTTGAGACAGAAAGCTAGGGGGGATGTGTATTGTAGTAGATAAATCTTCATGTTAGGTTTTCTGTGTTTTCTCTAGAGACTCATTGTGTGCCTGGAAGAATCTCTCTACATACACAACATTCGGGATATGAAGGTACTGCATACCATCAGGGAGACCCCCCCAAACCCTGCAGGTAATTTATTTGTGAGAATCGTTCAGTTTTGCCTTGTAGGTTTGGCTATAGGATGCTGGGCGTAATGGCACACAACTGCACTCCCAGCATTCTAGAAGGCTGAGGTAGAAGGACTGTAAGTTTTGGCCAGCCTGGGCTTATTAAAATTTTTTTAATAGTAACTGTAGATGAGAGTTCTGTTTTGTTTTTATTTATTTTTTTTAATAAGTTCCATGGATGAGACAGTTTTTTTTTTAATTTTTATTTTTTTAGACAGGGACTTGCTGGGCCTGGAACTTGCAGTGATCCTCCTGCCTCAGCCTTCCAAGTGCTGGGATTACAGGTGTGCACAACACCACACCCAGCTTGAGACAGATTTTTAAAGTTTTGGTTCTAAACAGTTATCTTTCTACTGAAGCTGATCTGTGGCCAGTATAATCTCATTGGTTTAATCAACTTTCAGTTTTGAGGTTATATGATCATTTCAAAGCAAAGGCCTTTTATCTGTTTATAGTATTGACATCACCTAAGGTGGGTTGGGGGTTCCAAATTTTATTAAATGCTATTAGCTTATCAGAATGGTATTTTATTTGTACTTTTTTAAATGCTAAATTATAAATCGAAGAGTTGGTTTTTTGAAAGAATAAATAAAATTGATAAACCCTTAGCAAACCTTATCAAAAAAAGGAAAGAAAAGTCTCAGATCCATGCAATCAGAAATGAAAAAGGTGAAGTCACAACAGATCCAACAGAAATCCAGAGGATCATTAATGCCTACTTTGAAAACTTGTACTCTAATAAAATGGAAAACCCAGAAATGGACAGATTTCTAGATACTTATGAATTACCAAAGTTGAATGAAGAAGATAAAAACATTTTAAACACCCCAGTTACAATCAGTGAAATTGAAAATGTAATTAAAAACTTACCAAGAAAGAAAAGCCCAGGTCCTGATGAATTCACTGCTGAATTTTACAAGACATTTAGAGAAGAACTATTGCCACTACTGTTTAAACTTTTCAATGAAATTGAAAGGGAAGCAGTACTTCCAAATTCATTCCTGGAGGCAAGCGTCACTTTGATTCCCAAACCAGGGAAAGACACAACTAAAAAAGAGAACTACAGGCCAATCTCCTTAATGAACATAAATGCAGAAATCCTTAGCAAGATATTAGCAAACAGAATACAGAGGATCATCAAGAAGATCATACATCCTGACCAAGTCGGATTTATTCCAGGGATGCAAGGATGGTTCAACATACGTAAATCAATAAATGTAATACACTATATTAACAAAGTCAAGAACAAAAACCACATGATCCTCTCGATAGATGCAGAAAAAGCATTTGACAAAATTCAACACCCATTCATGATAAAAACCCTGCAAAATTTGGAATAGATGGTCTGTATCTCAATTTAATAAAGGCTATCTATGAAAAGCCAACAGCCAACATCATATTAAATGGCCAAAAACTGAAAACCTTCACGTTAAAATCAGGAACAAGACAAGGATGCACACTATCACCACTCCTCTTCAATATAGTTCTGGAAACATTGGCCATAGCAATTAGACAAGAAAAGAAATTAAAGCAATTAAGATAGGAAAGGAAGAAGTTAAACTGTCATTATTTGCTGACGATATGATACTCTACATTGAAGACCCAAAAAACCACCAAAAGACTTCTAGACTTAATTGACACTTTTAGCAGAGTAGCAGGATACAAGGTCAACACACAAAAATCAATAGCCGCCTTGTACACAAACAGCAGACTCACAGAGAAATTAGGGAAACAATTCCTTTCACAATAGCATCCCAAAAAATGAAGTATCTAGGAATCAACCTAGCAAAAGACCTCTACACTGAAAACTACAGCACTCTGAAAGAGATTGAAGAGGATATAAGAAAATGGAAAGACATCCCCTGCTCCTGAGTAGGAAGAATCAACATAGTGAAAATGGCCATACTACCAAAACTGCTATACAGATTCAGTGCAATGCCAATTGAAATTCCAACACTGTACTTCACAGAACTAGAAAGAAAAATCCAAAAATTCATTTGGAACTATAAGAGACCTAGAATAGCAAAAGCCATCCTAGACAACAAGACACATGGCAGCAGGTATAACAATTCCCAATTTGAAACTATACTACAAAACCACTGTGATAAAAACAGCATGGTACTGGCAAAGAAACAGACCTGAGGATCAGTGGAACAGATTGGAAGACAAAAACAACTCCAGATACACTCAGCTACCTCATCTTTGACAAAGGAGCTGACCATCCTCAGTGGAGGAAAGATAGCCTCTTCAATAAATGGTGTTGGAAAAACTGGATCTCATCCTGCAAAAGTTTAAAACTAGACCCTTACCTGTCACCATGCACTAAATTAAAATCCAAGTGGATTAAAGATCTAAATATAAAAACAGAAACTCTAAACTTGCTGGAAGATAAGTTAGGCAGAACTCTGGAAGACATTGGCATAGGAAAAGACTTTATGAACAAATCCTCAGCACGGGAATTAAAGTGTTTGTAGGGGGATGGGGAGGGGAGGGGGGTGAAGGGAGGGTGGGGACAAGGGGAAAAAATGAGAAGCAAGATCTGTCATGTAAAGGTACAAGATCCCAATAATGAATGTAACTGTACTGTATATATAGAATGTACCAATAAATTGAATTTAAATTTTTTTAAAAAATGCTAAATTATAACCAACAACTAAGAAGGACCGTCCTCTTAGACTTGACTTGTACCTGCTGTCCATGTGTTTTACAGGCTTGTGTGCACTGTCAATAAACAATGACAACTGCTACTTGGCGTACCCAGGGAGTGCCACCATCGGAGAGGTGCAGGTCTTCGACACCATTAATTTGGTGAGGTCCCTTTTCTATTTGGTTAAATGTTCACAATGGGGCTGTGATTCTTAGTCTCACTGCTGGGTGGCTCTGATTTGGATTACGTTCCCAACAGCGTGAACCACAAGTGGTACCTGGGTGACTGTCCCATTGGGTGACTATTTTATTAGTAATAAGATCGATAAAAGTGATTAGGGGACCTGGGATTTAGCTCAGTGTTGCACACCTGTCTCGAAAGTGCAAGGCCTGAGTTTGAATCCCTGGTACCAAAACAACAGCAACAACAAAAGAGTGATTAGTTTGTGGCAAACCCCCAGTGGGACAGTCATATGAGTGACCGATGGCTCAGGCCAGAGGGAACATGTATACAGTGTCTTTCCCTGCACCTGCAGCTTGGGGTCTTCAGTATCTTTGGGCAACCACACAGTGTTCACTGCTGCTTTCTCAGTAGTGGCAGAGCAGGGCTGACTGAAGCCACCCCTGGGGTGCTTCTGTGGGTGCCTAAGTGCTGAGGGCCTGCAATGGTATCCTGGGACTTGGAAACCTTGATGGGTGGAGAAAGTATTTAGTGTTTTTCCGAGTCCGAGCAGCAGTTCCATAACCCCACCCCAGTTAGTTAGGTGGGTTTGGTGTTCTTGCTGACCAGGTGGTGGCTCAGTGACAGCCTGGTGGCATTTCAGCCTCCTGGCCAGACAGTAGCACAGGACACAGGCTTTCATTCATGGCAGTCATATTTCGTCGGTTTCCCATTTCAGAGAGCTGCAAACATGATCCCAGCTCATGACAGTCCTTTAGCAGCGCTGGCTTTTGACTCAAGTGGAACCAAACTTGCCACTGCTTCTGAGAAGGTAGGTCTGCTGTGGGCTGGGAGAGGGTGGGTTGGACGCCTCAGTTCTAGTTCCATTCACGCACAGGGTATCAGACAGGTTTCTGTAATGCCGCCTTGCAGAGGAGCCGTGGTGGCCACACTGGTTAGCTGCTGTGGAGTGCAAAAAATGTGTGTGAGTCTGCTTTCCATCCCAGCCACAGACTGCCTTCCAGAGAGGAAGGGCTTGAGGGGCTGCACTTGAGGCCACGGGCACAGGGCAGAGCACAGCTGCTCACCTCAGAGCAGCCTGTGGGGGACAGCGTGCTGACCCCACTCCCTCCCACCCTCTGGCCCACACCCTGTCTGCAGCACCAGCATTTTAGTACACAGCCTTGGGGATGACACTGTGCCATTGTCTGACAAGAAAGCTCACAAGCTTGTGGTAGAAATTCCAAAGTACACGGAGAAAAGGAAACTATATTCCCAGCCAGGCCAGGATGCTCATGTCTTGGGGTGGAGAGTTTAGAAAATAATGAGAGGTGTAAATAGCCAAAGACAGTTCCGTTATCCACCTGATCTAAATACATTTCAGTGTCCTCATTCCTTTTTCTCCTTTTATGAAACAGGGTCTTGGTAAGTTGCTCAGGAAGGACTAGAACTTGTTGTCCTCTTGTCTTCAGTGCTGGGATTATAGGCATCCAACCATACTCAGCTCTATTTGAACGTCTAATAGTTACCTATGGTTTAAATAACGTGGTTTAGCTAGGTGTAGTGGCACAGACCTGTAATCCCAGCACTCTAGGAGGCTGAGACAGGATGACCTCAAATTCAAGCCCAGCCTGGACAAATGAGTGATTTATTGAGACCCTCTCTCACAATAAAAAAGGCTAGGACTGTAGCTTCGTGCAGCACAATTTCCAGCACTCTTCAGGGGTAAAAAAAGAATGTGGATTTTTTGGCTTTTTTGGCTTTTTTTTTTTATTCAGGGAGGTTTGATTTTTGTTTTCCATTTTTGAGATAAGGTCTTACTATGTTGCGCAGGCTGGTCTCAGACTCCTTCAGCAGTCCTCCTTCCTTAGCCTCCTGAGTAGCTGGGCCATCACACTGTGTGGGCCATCACACCTGGCTCCTTTTTTTTTTTCCTTTTAAGTGACTAATATAATGTATTTAACGATTTAACATTTAAACTTCATCAGTGCATGTACAACATGAACTTTACTGAGGTGAGCCTGCCTTAGGATAGGACGCTTGCTGGGGCCCATCAGCACCACGTTCACATCAAGGACTGTTTACTATTTTAAACAAAGTACATTCAGATGCTTTCTATGAACCAGTTTGTTTTTTTATTTTTGTTTGTTTCGATGGGGTGTTTTGGATATAGGATCTTGCTTTGCAGTTCAGGCTGCCCTCAAACTTGGAGCAATCCTCCTGCCTCTGCCTCCCAAGTGCTGGGATTATAGGCATGCACCACCATGCCCAGCTACAAACCAATTTTGAAATCATTTCTGTCCAGGATAAGGACCAACAATAAAGGTGCACAGGCTAGTTTCACATAATTGACTGATTTTTAAGAGCACTTACTACAGCTGTGTCTGCAGACCTAGGAAATGAATTTTGCAGAAGGGCTCATAGCCCCCAGCTGTCTCACTCTATCTAAAGAGGGTAGAGCAGTGGCTGTCCTCAACCACACTCTGGTTAAGATTGCTTTGTGGTTGCAGTCTGTGTTTGGGATGCATTCTGAGGATCAAGACAGGGCCAGGGAGTACACTGAGTTCAGTGCCTATCATCAGCAAGCATTGCATGCAGAGCCATCTCCTCCCAGACACCCACGTTCACGGGTCACCCTGCTGGGGTGCTGGAGTGGTGTAGAAGTCTGTGTCTCCAGGAGTCCTCTCATCTTCCATAATGGTGGATGGCCACGTTCCTCCCACGTTAGCCTCTTTCTGTGGCAGTAGGCCCAAGTGTGTAAGCAGAGACCCTCACGTCAGTCCTGCCTGTGCACCCACAAGCCGGTGGTAACACCCATTGGAATCCCCTCGTGGTAGCGTGCTCACCACCGTGTCACCATGCTGTACATCCCAAGCCCTAACTTGAGAGCTACTGGTTGAGTCGATGCTTCATTTTTATCAGTGTGGATGACACTAAGCGTGCCTGGCTGCTACGGGGCTATGAAAAGCAGATGTGGTTAAAAAATAGGTTTTGCTGAGAGGAGGAATGATCACAGGTATGGCCTGTGGCCTCTGTCCTTTATAAGGTAGGTTATTGCTGCAGTATCCTTGCTGGCCTGAAACTCCCAGTCTTGGGCTCTTTCTGCTCAGCCCCACTGAGTCCTGCGATTGTAGGCTGCACCACTCACCTGGCCCCAAGTGGCCTTTTTAAACACCTGCATACACAGTACGGAGCAGCCAGCGTGACATACTCTTCAGCCTGACATCAGTAGGATGCTAGCAGGCCCTCTTGTTCTTCTGAGCTTAGACCGTACTGTCCCTGCTTTCTCCGAAGCTCCGTCTGCAGTTCTTGCGTCTCTTGGAGATCGAGTTTGTTTTCTTGTCTTTGTTCTTTTCTCTGCCCTTGTCCACTGCACTTAGATTTTCATTTTCATTTCTTTTTTTTTTTTTTTTTTTTTTTTTT